GTATCGAAGTGAAGGTATCGGTATTGGTACCGGAACCGAACATTTTTGAACAATACCCAGCCCTACCCAAACCTACAAAGAAATTGTTTATTTCTTACTGGGATTCCCCATTTCCACAGTCGGCAGTTGGGTTATCCTTAGTTCTGTGCTTTTGCTTACCACCCTGCTGACTATTTCTAAAAAGTGCTTAGCAGTCGCTCCATTTTTCCATTTGGAGGTCCTTCAGGGACAGCATGGCCATCTCCAAAACGTCCACCTCTCGGCACAGTAATCTAACTAAATGTTTGAACATTGGTAAAGCACAACTCGCCGTGCAGTGCTTAATCCAGGACCCACCACGGTAGGCAACGGTAGTCAGAAACCAGACCAAGTAGCGTTTCCACTCCACTCCACCCAATAAACATACACCAGAGTCAGAAATCCATATGCCATATGGATGAGCTATGGTCACCTTAGTGCAATAATGAATGACTGTTCATGCAGACACGTGTATCTGTAACTAGTCATTCAGTCCTCTACCACTTTGCCAGCACCCGCTTCTGACATCACTAAGTAAGCACTTTTTATCAAATCCCTCTCGCAGTTCCTCAGATTTTGCCCCACCCATCAGGATCTCTTGCACCAACCACTTTGTTGGCATTTTTCAAAGTTTGCCTTGAAAAAAGCTATGTTTTTACATGGGGCGAGTTACACTTTAACTTTCTGTGGCAGTATTCTTTTATTGACAGGTAAACATTCTGTTTAGGGGTTGTACTGCATAGTTTAACACACACGTAAATAGACATTTCCACTCCATGATGTCTATGACCCAAAGCAGCAACTGTATCGATCAAAACATCACACTTTGCTTTTCAGCTGTATTCAGTAGTGTAGCTGCCATCAAAGACACAAGAGAAGAAAAAGCATGCAGCACACAACAGGACCCAAAATAACTTCACAGTCAGAGGGAGGTAGAAAATCAAACAAAAAGACAAATAGGAAAAAAACAAGTATTACCAAAACCTTGTGGTTCATGGAGGTAAATGTAGATGTTAGGGATGGGTGTTTAGCTGTAAAATCTAAAGCCTACCGAATCCCCTGCTTAGACTGGATGTCACTAATGTTACATCATTTAAAAAAAAATCACAAATAAATAAGGTTATGTGTTGATTATTTTGCCAGACTGTAAGGTTAGGGGTTAGCTCTTACCTGTTTATACATTGATTAGATCACGCTTTTGTAACTTTAGTGATATTGTTGTGTGTTACATCATTAATCAAATAAACCTGGTTAAAATATAGATAAGGAAGCCTATATATGCCCTAAGTTACAAAAAGCACATAATCTTACTTGCTTAGCAGACAATAATGCATTGTAGCTTTGAATTGCGTAACATTTTAAATGTATGAAGAAATGGGTACTGCCCAATCTTTGGGCAACACCTGAAACTCACATCGGAAAGATCAGTTACTATGACTCTGGTTTTGTTTTTTCTTTGCTTGAAGTCAAACTTTCCGCTTCAGCCTGTGTGAGCATGCATGTGAGAAAGGGGTGTTCTAAACTTGACTGAATATTTTTTCCACTTCGACTCTTAAAACTTCTGAGACAAAGTTATGTGCAGAAAACAAACAACACAAAGAATCATAGTGAAAAATTAAAATAGGATACCACTGATAATTGTTTGTCATGTAAATCAACAACAAATAAATAAAATCTTCTGTTTCAGGTTCAACATCAAACTTTTAAATGTTAACTCTGTACAAAAAAGTTTAGTTCTGCTTTTATTATATTCATAGTTATATTACTATAGTTATATTTATAGCTTATATTACTTCAAACGATAAATATACTGACCAAAACCTGTTTTTAAACACTCTCTTTCTTTAGTGTCACACTTATCCAGAACTTATATTGAGCTGGTCCAACATTATCCTCAGGTTAAAATGTGTTGGTTTTACAGTATCATGATTTAAGTACCAGTTTACAGAAAATATCCAATATATTTTTAGAAAAACAGTTTTGATTATGCTATTGATGGCTTACTTTCTTGATTTTTATAAGTAAATTAAGAAAAAAATAACGATTATGAAATGTTCGTCCATTTATTAGTTATTAATGGGCTGTTTTGCTTTTCTGTCCCTAAATGCAGCAATACAAAACAACAGTAATACAAAAAAACAAAATGTCCATCTTTTTTGGGTAGAGCCTGCGGTCCCAATAAGTGATGAGTGCCACTCCTTTATTATAAACATTGTGACTGTTTTGGCTCTGTAATAACCTTAAGTATTTCCAAACAGACAAATCTGTCAGACTCCCTACTGCTTCTGCAGCTGTCTTTGCTTTTGCATCACCTCAGTGCACAAAGTCGTTATTACTAAAGGCAGTTAACGCTACTTGCAGCTTTATGACTAGCACCAAAGGTGGACAAGAAGCACTTCTACCCCCCCATTGCATATCAGTACCTTACAGTTGATAGCTAAGAGTAAAAATAACTCTAAATCAAGGAAGGGCGGTCTGAAAAAGGCTTTGAAAACCTCACAAAAAATGATTCTGATGTACTTAAAGCTGAGGCACATTGCTCTCAAATTTGTTCTGCCAATGGCTGAAATTTAGAAACTAATGATGAGCTTTTAAAGGATTTCTCTGTCATTCATCAGTACAGCTGAGTGATCATACTCTCTAGAACCACATATTGTATTTGTAAATTTAGTTTTTATTCAGATTACTTGTATTATTTTTGCAAGGACTGCTTAAGTGTCAAAAGTTTGACAAAACAGATTTTAATCTGGATAATCGATCAACCTATGGGAATAAATCGTTTTCAGGTATTACTGCTTAGTGCAAACAGTTGGGATTGTGGTACAACAACTGTGAAATTTACAAATCGACAAATTAATTTACTCCTTTATTATTTGTTTTTTCTTTTTTGGCTTGCTTTCTTCCTGCCTCCTCCTTGTGACTAGCCCAGCTGTTGCAACTTCATTTTTTGTCTTACATGAGCTACACATAAGTGAGGTAGATAGTCCTTGACTGACTCAACAAATTCCTATGCTTCCTCATACCTTTTGAATGTAATCTTCAATGTCATGATTAACCTAGATGGAATTTATAATACTTAAATAGACTGAAGCAGTTTAATACTGCTGAGTCCTTAATGCTACGTTCAGATCGCAAGCAGCAAAGGCAGCAGGAGCAGCTAGTTTACATGCAAAGTCAATGGTGGATGCACATCAAGGCGCAGCAAAAGGTCCAGCGGCGCGTTTTGAGCAGCTGAAGCAGCGCATCGTAAGCGTTTGAGCATCTGATGCACACGATGCGCTGCTGCAGGAGTTGGAAAAATTAAACTTTTGCTGCACGACGCGCCACATCAACCAATCAGGGAAGCTGATCTGTGAGCTGGCAGGGAGACAGACACAGCACTGCTGATGAAGATCGCTATAATCATTCCTCAGAAACAGTTTATTAACGCCTAAATTAACTTAAAATGCCAGTGGCTGCTGTTGGATGGGATTTCCAATGACAGAGCACCGCCGGTATGTAGGGCTTTGAGGGGCTTTGACAGCGAAATAACATTTGAATACAGGATCGTAATCTTGATGAACTGACTGCACAGAGTAAGTTTTCATGTGGACTTTCTAACTTAAAAACATATTAAAACCACTTTATTCCCACTGATCACAGCATATATAGCTGCCATTGTTACAGGCAAAGAAAGGATACAGTAGCTCCGCCCAACGCGAATCAGACCCACTTTTCCACCAGAACTAAACTTGTACAAGTATAAAAAATGAAGCAACATGCACATTTTTGCTGCTCTTGCTGCTTTAGGTGTGAACGTAGCATTACAGACTAGATTGTATATTATGCATATACAGGCTCGAACTGGTAATCTGTGATCCCGGGCAGTTGCCCGGTGGGCCGGTCCTAATTTCAGTGTGCGAGGGCCGGACCTCATATTTACTCTCCAGCCGCAGCATCTACCTGTGACAGTAAATCATTTAAGGAGCTCAAGAAATAATGCAATATTTACTTCTTATATGATGCATACAGTATATATAGCCCTTCCTTGTCATCCACATCCTTGTGACAGCTGGCATAGATGGTGTAATTCCCTATTTCTTCAAAGTGAAAAATCCTTGCAGCAGACTAAATTAAAATAAAACTAAAATGCTTTCTTTAAACCAAACTACGATGTTCCTCTTATATTTAGCGAATTTATGTTGTGGTGCACGATGGGGATTTGCACCTGTTGTTTTGTATCATTTACACCGTAAATGAAAAAAATGCTAGGGCTTAAAATCGATCCCAGTCCGGACCTTTGCATATTTCAATAAAGGGACAGAAAGGCAAACTTCTGCATCAGTATCAGCCAGGAGAAACTCAATCGGTGCATCTCTACTTCTAAGAAATTAGTTAAATGACAGTATATGACAGCAAAAACACCCCATACTAAAGTCTGTCTAAATGTCTTTAGTGTTTGGATCAAGAGTTTCTGTTTTTCTTCTCTAGATATTTCAGACTTTGTTTAGGTTCCAATATTAACACTAAGACTATAGTAGTTCCAGTTACATCCCCATTATTTGCAGCTGTTTTGGCCTTCAGTAAATATACACTGACAACAGCATAGAAATCAAACTCTGATTACATACAGTACAGGGTGTGTTCCTGATGACCTGATTACTGATGTGTGCTGTGGGAAACACCTTTTCACTATAAACACACACAGTTAACCCAACAGGAAGGCTGTAACTCCAGCATCAGAAAGCATGCAGATAGCCCAACTTCAAAGCTTACCTTAATAATACTGCTCCTGCGTGGTATTTCAGATTTGGCATCCGTCCCCACGGAGGTGTTGGCGTTTTCCCCTCCGGGTTGAGTGCCAGGAGTGAGCGGGCAGCCGGAGCCCATCATACCGTCTGGAATCCCACAGTCTCCATTCAGAAGGGACACTTCGCAATGCGTCTTCACCGCAGCCTCGTCGCTGGGAACGGAGCTGTTCCCAAAATTCACCGGAGGGAGCCTTCTGTCCTCCCCGAACTCCGCCATAGGCACCTCGGTCTCACACCCCCCAAAAACACGAAATATCTTCCAGCTTCACTCCAATATCCTGCCCAGTGTTGTATTATAACTGATACTACTGCTTCTGTAGTATAAAATGTGCGGTATCATCTCTCCATGCTCATATCTGCTGCCTGCTTCTTGTAGAATGAGGGGCTTCTTCGGTGCTCTGAGCTCCGTCTGTGAATTACAGAGAGGATTCATGTTAACGGCAGCAGGAGCCCTGAGAAGAAAGCACATTTTGTTTGCACTGAAAGCGGATGTTCTCAACTGATGCAACGAACCAACGGACCAGTTTTTTTTTATGTAGACTGGGGGGTTTATGCGTGAGGATGCCTGTTAAAGCAAACACACACCCCGAAAATAAATGTTCCTTTTAAACCTTTTAATAGCTTCATTTATCCTCTTACAGAACTCATAATTAGCTCTGTTGGCTCCGTGTCTTACCTTTAGTGCTGCTCCGTCTGCCCATAGTCGCAGCCCGGTGTTTAAGCTGAAGTTGTTACTCCGGCAGCCTGAGGAGCAGACTGGCGTTGCTTTCTGTCAGCTCGGCTAGTTAGCAGGCTAACAAAGCTCATTCACTTAACTCGCTAGCTGAGGGAAGGAAGTTTTTTTTCTCCCTCACAACCGAGAGCTTCTGTTGTTGGTAGACAAAGTAACTAATGCTAACCCACCTCCGTCGGTGAATCACTGTGGTCGGCGCTGGTTCGGCTCGGTTGCAGCTAATTAAAGGGCACCATTGAATCTGTAACAGTCTGTCATGAAATGAGTCGTTTCTAGGGAACAAAAGTTGTGTATGTCTCGTGAACGCGCACGATCTTTGTTGTCAATCTACCGAAATATTCTGCCAAGTTTGACCGTTTTCAGCGTTTTTTCCAACAAATACAGACGCACGCCAAAAATATTACAACACGTTTTAAAAGTATATTTACTGCTTATTAACAGCTTAAACACCAGTCCTCCAAAATTTCATATATATATATATATATATATATATATATATATATATATATATATATATATATATATATATATATATATAATTTTTTTAATAATTAGGACACATTGTTTTATGCGTATGATTTGTTTTTTTTTTATTAGTTTTTTTTTTTTTGCAATCTTTTTATCTTTATGTGAAGCACTTTGGTCTTCCTTATGTTGTAAACTTTGATTTGATTTATATTTATATATATATATATATATATACTGCTTGAAAAATACTTTAATTGGTATCATGTTCTGCGTCCTGATGACACGTTTTTGACCATAATGGCCAATGGTGAGAGAAAAAGAGGGATGTGTGGACTCGCACCTCTGTAATTGACATTTATTCATCCCTAGCACTACTTTTGCACAACTTTTGCACAACGTCACTATCACTTATTTGGATTCATAGCTATACATATATAT